AGGGCATTGGCAATGACAAAACAAAGGATACGTCTATGGAGAGTAGTAAACGAGCATATGCATCTCATTTTCACGCCAGTTTTCCGNTTAATTGCTTTATTTTGTCGCAGTACGCGAAGCGAAAGTCTCACAAGGTTGGCGATTTATGGATAAAACTTCAGTCTCGGAAGGGACTCGAACCCGCACTTGTGCTTCCCGGACGCCGTGCTCTATCCCTACGCTACCTCTCCCTTCCTTTGATCTGTTCCCTTTCACAGCTTGGGATTAGATTCACATTAACGAAGCCTACTACAATTTCTTCTCTCTGTCCAGGGTCCCCTAGCGATCCCGTACACCCAATGAATGAGTGCGAGCATCTAGATGTCACGTTTGAAGAGCAAATAAACTCCGAATCCTTCACGGTTACCGCTGATCTGAATGGTAGAGAAGCTCTGAGCAACCGAAGACACACACTGGCCAATGCTCTCTGTGAATGTTTTTCTTTTCAAAAAGCGCTTCTCTGATCTCAATGAAAAGCACCTGTTGGCACCATTTATTAGGGGGGATTAAAAGAAATGGGTTGCATATCAGATGGCCCCACCCATTGCTCAGCTTCAGTACCCATCGACGCATCACAACAATTCTAAAAAAAAGATCGAGTGCATGTGAGCGTCAAAAGATGAGGTTGGTAAATTCCCTGCAACTTATGATGACTTCAGGGATCCCCGAAACGTTTTTTCTAAAGATTTTCTCTGGGTTTTTGTATAGATCTAGAAAGATCGACCAGGAAGGTGAATAAATGGGCAAGAGCTTGTAAAAGGTGATCCACCTGGGTGCAAAAATCTTTCCACTTCTCCCCTACTCCCCGACCAGTAGTTTCCTTTGCTTCTCAAGCCTAATCTATCTTCCCATAGGCGAGGCGTGGTCATCAGATTACGAATTAAGAAATCCTTTCCTGGAAATCTTCACGGAGTATCTGACAATCGGCACCCGAGAGTATCGATTGCGAAAAGGTTACATCGCTAAATAGTAAGTGTAGGAACTGTCAGAAGGGAAAAAGATAAGATAGCAATAACCTCTGTTCAACCTTCGAATGGTTTCTCTCTCATTTTTATTGAAGTTTCAGTTTTCAGATGGACCTTCTCTATGATATCAAAAACCTCAACGATACCATTCATCAAGTGCTCGCTCACATTACTCCACTGAAGTGTCACAAGTAAGTAATCAAAATACCTTTTTTCACGGACTAATTACTCTCGATTGCTGTGTTTCTCAGGGTTTGCTGGCAAAGCTTTCTGCTGGCTCGACTATCGTCAACCGACTATAGAGGCGATGGGTCTCAAGAGTGCCGCGATATCGAATCGACTACCTCGGTCACTTACTTACGACACATGAAGCAATATGCGGTAAGTTGGATTGGATTGGCATTTGGATGGATGGGTTCAATGAAGAACGTAGTTTTATTACTCTCATCTATCTGGATTGAGACGAATGGCCATTCTTATGACTTGAGTTTTTCTAAAAACCCGTGGGTTAAGGGGATAAGAGCATGGGCTGCAGACCTGTACCAAACACACAACAGTAATTGTGACAAGTAGAGAAGAAAAACGATCGATTCTAATCCTGGGGTTCCGTGTTCAAAAGTTTTAGCTGGGAATATGAATGAAAATAAGTCAATTAGATTGGCCATTTGACTATTTAGCTTTTTCTGACTTTAACAAAGTGCATAGAATGAATTGAATAATGTCTCAGAGTAAAGAGTAGACCTTCAAAAAACTCTAAAAGATTTGGAATTACTTGAAAAGCCACTACTCAATTTCAGATCGAAAAGCACGCATCTGGTTTCGAACTCGTGGTGGACACGGAACTCAACGAGGATACGGAAGAAGGTTTCGTCACCCTATCTGCCCTGAATTTAGCAAAAGACGACAGCAAGCCAAGAATGAAAACGTTCGGGTGGGTGAAAGTCATTTTCCAGTTTGACGAGGTTCCACCACATGATGCTATTTTAGCAATTTCAGTACAGCGTCCACGAATGGCACTTTTCATCTTCCACTCTCGCCTGACGCTGTGTATGCAGCTCAGTACCAATACACAAAGGTCAAACCAATTCATTTTACAACCACGGAGCATTTCCTCATCGAAACAGCGTCCATGAATTCTTCGAAATTCTCATATCCCCTCGTTGTTGCCAAATTCCACACCGAGAATCGAACCCGTAATGACAGTGAACCTCTGCCTGTTCCTTTGATCACCTTCAGCCGAGGAGACGCCTATACAAACAGAGAGGTCAAACTGCATCTGGGACCTTTCTGTGAGAATAAGGAGAGCTCTACGGAGGTTCTCAGTGATGCACAGAGCAGTTTTACGATGAATCTAGTTCAAGCGATCTGTTCGCAGAGCCCCAATGCTACTTTTTGTGAGCACGGAACGAACTATACCAAATGTGGCCCGATTCTGTGCTACTCAATGAGCGTAGCAGTCCATGGCGATGAGTATCCGTCAGACGTCCGCTGCCACAACGTTACCCAACACTTTTCTCTGGAGTCCCTCTCACCCTCTTGTTCCCGAACCTTCATTTCTTTGCTCATCTTGATTTTGTTAGTGATTTAGATATTTTTGAATAAATATATTAGGTGCTCAAAATAAAAAAAAACAAACCGAGAATGAACACGTCTGCGAGTCAAAGGGAAACCGTTTGAAGTTGATCGGGCAAAAACTCTTGGACGATATAGAGACGAACATGCGAACTCGTCCATCGGAGCGAATCTCAGCAGGGGCATCGGGAGCGTATTCTGGCACTCGTCCATATACGCTGAAATGAGCTCGGTGCTGATGGGTGTTGCTCTTTGAGCAGAAAAAAAAATCAGATTTACCTGTGGTACATGTAGAATTCGGGTTTCCAAATCCACTTCATCGGTACGAAAATTTTCGTAATCCCAGCATACTCGGTAGCATTCCAAATAAGAAACTCGTCGAGCCACCAAACATCGAAGTAAGCGGAAACTGTGGCCAGGTTGTTGCGTTGATCCTAAATATGTTGTATAATGAAAGAAAGTGACCAAATTAATTGCTTGCTGCAGAAATCATAGTTTAGAGCCCTACTCCATACATTTTGCACCTTTGAGGCTTCACAACATTCGATTTTCACAGCTCCTTACTAGTAAACCCAATATCGAGTACCCTGTCAGTTGGAGGCAGGGTATGCAAGTTGCCTGAGGTCAAGTTGGTTTTTAGAGCACGACATGATCCCCGATTCTCGAAAAACTTAAAGTTCTCTTTGAGGACACTGCAAACGACTAGTACTGCTCAGTGTTCGTTCGTGCTTACGATGAGGTATAAAACAATAGGTGAAGTGTAACAAACTGGAATTAATTGGTACTTCAAAGCCACTTGCTAAGCACTAAACAAACCGTTGAAAAGTTCAAAGGAAGGGGGCGCAATTGATGGGCTGCAACACATAGAACATATGCATAATAAAAAACATCCTCTTCAAGGGTGCTTGTTTTGTGAGATCAGAGCGGAGACAAGTGCTGCATTAGAGAGGGTGAAGTGGGATGCCTGGAGGTCCATCTCATTTCTATAGGCTCTTAGAACCTACCAGCGGTCAGAGCATCTCATTTAGTCATTAATTATCCCTCTCCGCTTTAGCTCGAATAAGGCCGCTTCTTCATATTTTTCATCCTTCGCTATGAGACTATTGGTAGGCTCACCTCCATTTTTCTCTACATCGAATTATTGTGCTTTTTTGCCCTGGATCCTATTGCCTCTGTTGCCTGTTCAATCTTGGTACGATAACCTTGTAAACTAGGTAGCTCTGATTTGGCGATGACTAGCACTCATGGGAGCACTCGTGGTATTTTACTGGTACAAAAAGGTGGTTCCGTTTAGCAATCTTCTCGGTCATCTTTCCGTTTCTTTTCCGTAACTTCTGCTTCCCTGTATGGCTCAAGTCCCAAACCCTTCCTTAGATTGGCTAATATATTCAGAAATAAATTTGGTAGGGAGATAGGAAAGGGTCCATCTTTGTTGATATCACGAGTGTATCAATTGGGAGTGGCTTCCGGATAACCTTTCAAACAAAACACCGCATGACATAGATATTTCTTTTGAAATTGGCAGTTCCAGCTAAGTATCAATGAACGCCTATTTCGTCATAGCCGTCGTCTCACTATCGCTATTCTCCGTTTTCCCAATTGACTACTGTAATTTTGTGCTTTGCTCAATCCCGTGTGAATATCCTCGCAAAAAGCTATTGCTGTCGCAATCGCTTCAGTTTTTGGAAGTATCCTTCGACTCAGTGGCTTATCCTTGTTGACTTTTCCTCAGAGGGATTACGTCGTTTCCCATCATCGTTTCCACATGGGCGAGATTATTTTCGTCTAGGAATGATTATGAACTGTATAATCCTTGAATTGTAGGCTTCGCATGCGTGTTGTGAATGTCCCTGGAGCTCGCGCCGCTTCTTATGCATGCATAATAATTGGAACGTTGATTAAAATTGGTTTACTGTTAGAACGATCTTTCCGAATGAGATAGGCATTCGAATCCCATTCAATGGAATAATTGTATGGATATCTGGCAAACAAACAGCTTGAGACAACCCATATGGAGCTCGAAATCGGTAGCCATGCAATCACAATATCTGCCAAAAAAATTGTAGCAAATGATCGACGGCTTTCTTCTCACCAGTTCCACCCCTAGACTGTTGGTTTGCTTTTTATTTTTAGACTAACCAAACGATGATTGAATTTTGCCCCAGATGCCTTCAAATGACTGCCTAGAGCGAAAAAGAGATCTGTTTACGGATAACAATAAACCGTCATATGTCTGGGAGAACTTCTACAGATCGGTCTGGTTGTAAAACTCTCCCATCAAACAATAGCCGAAAACACATCTGTTATAGACGAATTTGGCTCAATAGCAATATGTAGGGCTCGGTGTCACTCGACAGAAATCAACTGCGTGTGATTAGCACCTGTTCCCTAATGACGTCCAAGCTTCACCCATCTGGGTATTACAAACCAAGCGAACAACCAGCGAAAAACCTTTACAACAGGTATTGAGAGGCTCAAAACTACTACTTACAAGTTATAATAGCTTCAGCGCCGAGTCCGTCGCTGTTCTATCTATTTTTTTTATTAATCCCATTACGAGATGTTGCGGAATTGCCTATGAGCTGTTTTCAATCTGTCTCCGACAGTTTTAGTCTCAGAAAATAGAGTGTGGTGATTGGTAATTGGGGAATTGCAAGGCTATGTTTTAGATTTTACGGATATTATTACAGATTTTGATCCTTTGATACATCGATGGACACTAATCGACTATGTCAATAGCAAAAAACAACGTTTACTCATTCAGATGTCGCCTTTCTCACCCTCACTGTAAACCTCCTGCTATAAAACCCCCATCAACCACTTTAGCAGTTTGGTTGAGACTTCCTTGGCATGTTCCTCACTGACAGTGATTGCAATATGATTAGGATGCGAATTTCCGATTAAATAAAATCTAACACATTTATAGTGTGTTTTTGCAACCCCAGCCGGGAAAATCAGGGAAATCAGGAATACCAAACCCCAATTAGAAGTTAGCAATGTTTACACAGTTTCTGTGACTAATACCAATCTAACACAGGCCTTGCAGTGGAACGAGCAAATGGTATGCGCCGATTTTCACAGACCAGAAACCCTACCACATGATTATGGGTCAGAGTGGAGATGATAACTAAAACCGCCTCCAATGCCACGGCTAACAATGATGTTATGCCATTTGAGTGTTAAGCTGAAGATTGGTTTACCTTATTGCTTGTCCAAAGGATGAAAGACAAAGCTTTAAACGTCGATCAAGCCCGTCCCTGGGATGCGTCTCGGTGTGCACTTCCATTGAGCATCGTAAAACAATTTTTGATTGCGTATGTGGCCCATAAAATGACTTGCGGTGGCAGGTCATGTACAAGTCATTGTTTTTATTCTGCCAAATGAGTACGGCTCTGATTGACCGACCCTGGAGAGATCGAAGGCTGGGAGGTTGGTCAATGCGAGTATCGACCCCGGATCCAATCCCGACCTACATATGTGTGCGTGATGTGGGGACGCTATGTACTTGCCTTTACACCAGTCACTCTCTTCATACCTTACCGTGAGCCCCAGATGTTGAAAAAATCAGTAGAAGGTTCGGCAAGGCTATAGAGTGAGAGCTATAATATTCGCTAAGCTTTTTCTCGAATAACTCTTTGCTAGAATACATACCCAGAGGCTCACGTCTTTTTCTCGTTCTCGGATAACCTAATTGTGATGATTAGCTATGATTATGGAATGCCAGTGCCAACCAGATGATCTTTATGGAATCGAGCAAATAACAAACTCATTTCACAAAATAAAAGCCGAAGTGAAGCAACGTATTGCCTGCCAATCAGCTGTTTGAGTAGCTCATTAATGTACCCTTCTCACATCGATTAAAATTTCGCACTCTGGGAAAGCGATGGAACTGCTGAACGCTTACAATAAATTACTGAAGTGCACGAAAAATCCCAACTATTCCGTCGAATGTTCGTCCTGGAAAGGAGAGTTTGTTAACGTCCGATTATAGCTAATCCTCTCGTCCATCGTATGTATTAACGACAGATAGAAGGCAGCCATGCAATCGGCTGAAGTGAACAGGTGGAATAATCTGAGAAAGAACATTCGCAATGCACAATTTTTGTGCGGGGGTAGTAAACAAGAAGGGATTTGAGGTTGTGACCTGTTCCTCCAGGAACGTTTCTGAGAAAGTTCAATCTGAGCTTAAGCCCCTCGATAAATATGGAGATAAATAAGAAAAGATAAAGTATAAAGTCTCGGGACGTTAATAATCCCGTCTGAGGGAAGCGCCCACCTTTCGGCTTCCATTCACAATCGTAGTGGCGTATACAATGCGTACATGGCATATACAATAACTTGCGGTGAAAACCGATGTAGAAGTCAGTGTTTTTATCTTCCCAGACGAAGCTGGTACCAACTAGCCGACGCCGGGGGGATGGAAGGCTTGGCTGGCTCAGGCGGATATCGATCCGGGACTCGATCCCGTGATCCTGTGTGTGTGAAATGCGCCACTTACCACTACATCACCTTCGCTGATAAAAAAATGTAGGAGAAATGCGTGATTCCCTATCAGGGTTCAGAATCTCATGGGGGCCACCACTAGAAACATAAAAAGTAATTTACGCTAGAAACTTATATGGTTTCCCGAACCCAGTCTTGATTCAGCCCTGCTTTCCAGGAGGAAACTGAGAAAACCTCAGAAGACCTTGGCTTAGGAAAGAACTAGGACCTTCTATAAAGAACTGATTTCGAGCAGAACTTGTATCTATACCGATATGAATTGAACCCTGTCCTACCAGTGGCCATCGAAAAATATTGATGTAGGAACACCGTTACCTTCCAGCAGCATACATTCCGAGATTTCCCATAATCTCATTCAAGCCATCAGCAGTTATGTGCGTGTCATAATCTCACGAATCTTCAATTTCATGCACCCCATTTACGTGCTTAGGGCATTGGCAATGACAAAACAAAGGATACGTCTATGATCTCATTTTCACGCCAGTTTTCCGTCACGGAAACCAACATGAAGGCAGAAAGGGAATCTGAATTGCATCACAGTTACCTGTTCTCGCCTTCCTTCCCTCTGTCCGTAAGCTACCCTGGTTTCTAAAAAATTCAATTCTAACGAATTAAGAATTGGAGATTAAAATGAATGGTTGGTCGGACGAACATATAAGTTCTGAAGTTCTAGTAAATGGTCAGTGAGCAAAAACCTACCAACTAGTAAAATTCCCTGCAAAAGCGGCCAAGGAGTTCAGGGTACGGTAGTTTTGCTCGGATAGTCAAAAGCATGATCCTGACATTAGGTTTGTGAACGTGCCGACGAAATGTGTAGATAAGAAGCTAATAACAATTATTCAGGTTTTTCGGTGGTGAATTTCCACATTTTCTCCTTTTTGCCCACCTCGCTGGTCCTTTCTGGATCGGTAGCACTTCTGTTGCAATATAGGTTACGAAAAGCTATTGAACTCGGGATATTTGAGAGGAGGGAGGAAATGAACATGAAAACCAACCGCTGTCATAGAAAAGCGTCACACTACTCTGGTCGCTGAGCTCTGTTATGTTGTTATTTTGAGACGTGTTGGATTGAGCTTTTATAGCAGAAGTAGCCCTCTACAGAGCAATATTCAGATAAGTCGGGGTGTTAGTGTCGGTGTG